AAGAAGAAAGAAATATAAGTGTCTTTCTTCCCCCAAGACTGCAAGAAAGCATGAAGAACATAATTATTTCATGCTATTTCCTCCTGGGAGTATCACTGGTAGAGTTATGTGATGGTAAATGTTGTGTCAATTTGGCTGGGCCACAGTGCCCAGATATTTGGTCAAATATTCTGGATTATTTTTAAAGGTGTTATTTGGATGTGATTAATATTTAAGTCTGGACTTTGAGTAAAGCAGATTTCCCTCCATGATGAGGGTAGGTCTCATCCAGTCATTTGAAAACCTTACTAGAACAAAGACTGACTTCCTCAGAGTAAGAAAGAATTCTGTCAGAAGACCATCTTTGGATTCCAACTGCAACTCTCTCTTAGGTCTCCAGCCTGCCAGTCTATCATGCAGATTTGGGGGGGGGGGGGGGGGGCGGGACACACGCGCATCAAGTTGGTTCTGTTTCTCTGGAGAACCCTGACAAACAAGTGGTAAAGTAGAATGTAAAGCTGAAATTTAGGATAGGTTGTATGTGGGGAGGAGCTATGGTAGAGGTCAGAAAACCTTCTCTATGTATTGAGAACAATGGGATTGGTGGGAACTTAGGTTAGGATAAGTGGGTTTGGACCAGATCTTACAACTGATATTTGAGGAGTTTTAACTTTAAAACTACATCATAAGCCCTGGCCGGTTTGGCTCAGCGGTTAGAGCGTCGGCCTGCGGTCCAGAGAGACTCCGGTTCGGTTTCCACTAAGGGCTCATACCTCGGTTGCAGTTTGTCCATGGCCCTGGTTGGGTTGTGTGGGTGGCAGCCACTCGATGTGTTCCTTTCACATCGATATTTCTCTCTCTCTCAGCCACTCAATGTGTCCCTTTTCGCATCGATATTTCTCTCCCTCCCTCCCTTTCTCCCTCCCTCCCTTCCTTTCTCCCTCCTTCCCACTCTGTCTGAACAAAAACTGGAAACATGTCCTTGGGTGAGGATAAAAAAAAACTACATCATAAATTTTACTCTAATTTTTTATTTGAACTTAGCCTTAGTTTCCTTACTTTGGAGCATTTCTTCACTAATTCGGTCTTTTGTTTATTGCTGTCACATTTTGGTGTTCAACAGACTTGTTTTTCTTTATCAGCTGATAGTAGAGTCTAATTTATAATTTTTAGTTTGTGTCAAAAAATGAAGGCTTGTGGAAAATATGATGTCATTTGGGGGTGCAAAATATATTAATTACATGTGTGTTTATTGTATTAAACTTAGAAAACTTTAGTATTTTATAATATAGATGCTGTATTGAGAAGTTGGTCACTACAGCTCTTCCTTCTAGCCATGTACTACGACTATATACAGGTATCAATACACTGGTAACCACGTTTGATTAGCATGATGTTTGAATTTGCCTTGATCTTTAAATAGAGGCTTTTTAGCTGAATGATTTTGCTAGAACTTCCATCTAATTTTTTAAAAGGCAATTATTGGATTTATTACTAATAATAAACTTGCTGTCTCTAGCCATACCAGGGAGTTGGTTATTTTCTTTAAGTCTAATAAAGAAAATTCTGAGACTTCCAGTCAAGATGGCAGTGTAGGTAAACGTGATATCGCATCCTCTCACAACCACATCAGAGTTACAACTAAACTATAGAACAACCATCATTCAGAACCACCTGACATTGAGCTGCATGGAAGTCCTACAACTACGAAATTAAAGAAGAAGCCTCATCAAAACTGGTAGGAGAGGCGGAGGCGGACGGGCTAGTCCTACACTCACATGTGGCGGATAAAACTTAGGAGGACACCTCGGCTGTAAGTCCTCCCTGAGGACTGAGGGGTCCCCATCCTACACCAGGTGTCCAGCTCAGGATTCCAGTGCCAGAAGAGAAGTCCCCATAACTTCTGGCTGGAAAAACCAACGGGAACTGAGGCTCAGGGAGGGTGAGGTGGCTGGAGCCCCAGGCAGCTCCCTAAAGGGCCCGCACACGGACTTATCGGACTCTCTCCCTCTCAGCTTGGAGGGGAGGCAGCTCCAGGGGCACCAGAGACATAGAGGGAAGAACTGAGCTGTTTGGCATTGGAGCGAGGGCTGGAGAGGGGGCTTTCTCTGGGACAGATGTGCTATCAGAGGCCTTTGTTCCTTTGGTGAGCCCTTCCCTGGGGCGGCAGACAGCCACCATATCTGGGACTCCAGCATCCTGGCTCATACTGCTTGCTCCGCCCTGGTGATATTCTGAGGCCCAGCCCCACCCAACTTTCAGGCCCACCCAAGCTGTTGACAGTTGCTTAACCATAGGATTGGCCTGTCTTGGATCCTGCTTCAGGTTTTCCTAAATTCTTTCAAACAAGCAGCATCTGGTCTCAACTAGCCCCATACCTCCCTTTAAGTAATACATAGAAACAAACACAGGGAGGCAGCCAAAATGAGGAGACAAAGAAACAGGTCCCAAATGAAAGAACAGAAAAAATCTCCAGGAAAGAACTAAGCGAAATGGAGATAAGCAACCTAACAGATGCTGAGTTCAGAATACTGCTTATAAAGATGCTCAGTGAACTTGATGAGAACCTCAGCGAACTTAGTGAGGGCCTCAAGAGCATAAAAAAGGACCAGTCAGAAATGAAGGATGCACAGTCAGAAATGAAGGAGGCACTAACTGAAATAAAGAATAATTTACACAGATTCAATAGTAGAGTAGGTAAAGCCAAGAAGCAAACCATCGATTTGGAATATAACGAAGCAAAAAACACCCAATCAGAACAGCAAAAAGAAAAAAGAATCCAAAAAAACGAGGATAGTGTAAGGAGCCTCTGGGACAACTTCAAACATTCGCATCCTGGGGTGCCAAAAGGAGAAGAGAAAGAACAAGAAATCGAAAACCTGTTTGAAACAATAATGGCAGAAAACTTCCCTAACTTGGTGAAGGAAACAGACATACAAGTCCAGGAAGCACAGAGCGTCCCAAACAAGATGAACCCCAAGAGACCCACACCAAGACACATCATCATCAAAATGCAAAAGGTTCAAGACAAAGAGAGAATCATAAAAGCAGCAAGAGAAAAGCAGTTAGTTACCTACAAGGGAGTTTCCATAAGACTCAGCTGATTTCTCAAAAGAAACTGCAGGCTAGAAGGGAGTGGCAAGAAATATTCAGAGTGATGAAAACAAGAACCTACAACCAAGATTACTCTATCCTGCAAAGCTGTCATTTAGAATCGATGGCCATATAAAGAGTTTCCCAGACAAGGAAAAGCTAAAGGAGTTTATCGCCACCAAACCATTATTACATGAAATGCTGAAGGGTCTTCTTGAAGAAAAAGATAAAAATATGAACAAACAAAATGGCAATGAATACATATCGATCGACAATTGAATCTACAAACAAAATGAACAAGCAGAACAGAAACATTCTCATAGATATAGAGAACATTTTGTCGGTTGCCAGATGGGAGGGGGGTTGAAGGAATGGGTGAAAAAGGTGAAGGGATTAAGAAGTACAAATTGGTTGCTAGACTGACAAACCTCAAAGGGAAAGGGGGTTGGAGGGTGGGAAGAAATAAACCAAAGAACTTAAATGCATAAATGCATAACCAGTGGACACAGACAGCAGTGTGGGGAAATGCAGGAGGGGGGACGGGAGTGGGGGGAAAATGAGGAACATCTGTAATACATTCAACAATAAAGATAAAAAATAAAAAAATAAAATAAAGAGAAAGGAAAAATTTTAAAAATAAATAAATAAAATAAAATTATTTTTCCTATTTCTCACTCTAAACATTGTCCTAAACTGTAGGCTTTTCTAGTTTGCAGAATAAGAAAACTAGAATACCTATTAAAGCAATGTGGCAACTTGATGAAATAGTGAAGTAGTATAGAGGACAACCACCCCTAGTTTCAACATTCTAACCTATTATAATTTTGTATATTCTCTTCCATGCTGTATTTGTAAGGGGTGGGTGTAGAGTGTGATTTATTGAGGTGAAATCCATATAATATACAATAACAATGATAAAGTGTATGATTTGTGACATTTAGTATAGATATAATGTTGTGCAACCACCACCTCTCCTTAGTTTCAATTTTTTTTCATCACCTTAGAATACCCCAACCTATTAAGTAATCCCTCCCCTTTGCCTTCTACCCCCAGTAACCGCTAATATTTCTTTCTCTATGGCTTTTCCTATTCTGGATATATTATATCTAAGGGATCATACAATATGCGATATTTTGTGTCTGGCTTCTTTCACTTAGCATAATGCTTTGTAGCTTGATTCGAAGTGTAGTATGTATCAGCATTTCCTTTTTATGAAATTCTGTCATCTTCAGAAAGAGATTGTTTTATTTCTTCCTCTCCAGTTTGGATGCCTATGATTTCTCTTGCCTAATTGTGCTGGCTAGGATTTCTAACACTGTTGAATAGCAGTGGTGAAAGTGGGCATCCTCGTCTTGTTTCTGATCTTAGGGGAAAGCTTTCAGTCGTTCACCATTGAATATGTGGCTGGGCTTCTAGATGGCCTACTGCTCATCAAGATAAATACCCACTTCATTGTTTTCTCTTAGTCCCAAAATTCAGTTTTCCACTTTGGGATTTTATGGATTGGTTAAATCTTCACACACTACCCCCATCCCCCACCCCCATACACACGTGCATGCGCACACACAAAACATCACATAGGTTTCCAGTGTTTTATTTTGCTGAATGAGGGCATTAAAAATAAATCGACAGTGGAAAAAGGAACGTTATAACACTCTCTCCCCACAAGTACCAAAGATATAAAAAAATAAAAATCTAGGAAGAACACAACCTTGTAATACAGTCATTTAAATTGAATACATTTAGCTCTAGGGAAAACCCACTTTATTTTCCTCCTTAAAAAATTATTTAGCTACAGATTAATGAGTACTTTCTCAAGGGTGACATTTAAGAACTGCTGCTTAGTACTTGGAACAGTACACTTATAATACATACTACTTGAATATGATGAGTAGGCACATACTTCATATTCTCTGTTTTCTTACCAGTTCGGTCCTTTGGTACAGAAGACAGACCAACAGATCGTCCAATACCACCTCGAGATGAAGTCTTTGAATACATTATATTCCGGGGAAGTGATATTAAAGACCTCACTGTTTGTGAGCCGCCAAAACCACAGTGTTCTTTGCCTCAGGACCCAGCTATTGTTCAGGTAACTGGTAGTAAATTTGTCTTGGAGTTCAGCTAAACTTGACTTTTGCCCTTCCTGGATTTTCAAGTTTTTGTGTTTTTGTTTTTAATTTTCTCAGTTGAAAGCACCTTACCGTTTTCTAGTTCCCTAGATACCTAAAATACCCGGATAATGTTTTCATCTGGATTTCTCTCTAAATCATAAGGGACCAAAAGTAATAAATAGCTGAGGAGTTTGTTTTTATCATAAAATATTTTCTAATTTTAACAACTGTTAAAATTGCTAACATTTATTTATTTATTAAGGTCTAATTATATGAGAAGCACTATTCAAACCACTGCACATAAAAGTCAATCCTCACACTATCCTCTGAGTTTAGTATTATAGTAATTCTCAGTTTTTACAAGTGAGATTGAGGTAGAGCCACAGCTTGAACAAACCCAGGCAGTCTGGCTCTGGAGTCCAGGATCCATGCCACTATAGTAATTTCTCATGTGGTTCATATTATAAACCAAGGTGGAGATGGCTACTCTTAGGTAATATTATTAGGTTTAATGGGGGGGGGGGGGTTTAAATCAAATGTTATGTTATATAATATACATGCAGTGTTGTGTAAGATAACCCTGACTGGGTGGCTTCATTGCTTGGAGCATTGTCCCATACACCAAAAGGTCAAAGATTCAGTTCCCGGTCGAACAAACCAACCAGTCGATGTTTCTCTCTCATATCAATGTTTCTCTCCCTCCCTTCCTCTCTCTCTAAAATTAAGGGAAAAAAATATCATCAGTTGAAGATTTATTTTTAAAAGATAACTAAACATAAAAAATTTTTGACATACAGACATGTTCAGGTCCCTAAATAAGGTATTAAAAAAGAAGACTAAGTATTCTCAGTAAGAGAAATAAAACAATTGTGTATTTTATTAAAAACAAGCACAGCATATCTAAAAGATTTTAAATTATGGATTAAAGTGGATGTCCATTATAGTACCTGTTCACATTTTAACTGGAAGCATATAGAAACTGTCAGCTCTAACAGCAGGGGAAGCAGGTTCACATAAGAGTATTTTTACTTGAGGGCTGATTAAAAGCTTGCCCTGGCCGGTTTGCTCAGCGGTTAGAGCGTTGGCCTGCAGTCTGGAGAGACCCAGCTTCGGGTGCCGCTAGGGACACATGCCTCCGTCACAGTTTGTCCCTGGCCCTGGTTGGGTCAGGGTGTATGGGAGGCAGCCACTCAATGTCTCCCTTTCACATCGATGTTTCTCTCTCTCTCTCTCTCTCTCTCTCTCTCTCTCTCTGTCTTCCTCTCTCTCCCTCTCACTCTATCTGAACAAAAAATGAAAAAATGTTCTCGGGTAAGGATAAAAAAATAAAATAAAATAAAAGCTCATGGCTCCCTTGGTTTTCCTCCTGAATTCATTTTCTTCTTAATCTTTTTTTTTTGTTGGAAGTCTTTGTTTGGTCATTTGCACTAAAATATGCTTATCCAGCACCTGCCATGTGCCTGGTACTAGCAGTGAACACACAGACTGCCATCAGTGAACTTATATACTTGTAGTTGTTAGTATACTTCATATTTATATTATGAAACATTTTATATTAAGATAAATTAATATATAAACGTTTATATTTATATACATATTAATTATATTTCAGGTTTAGTAAGTTCAGGTTTTAAAATATTTTCTTTATCCTGGCTGTTGTGATTCAGTGGTTGAGCATCAACCCATGCACCAAAAAGTCGCCAGTTCAATTCCTGGTCAGGGCACATGCGCAGATTGCGGGCCAAATCCCCAATTGCGGGGCATGCAGGAGGCAGCCAGTCAATGTTCTCTCATCAATGTTTCTATCTCTCTCTACCTCTCCTTTCTCTCTCTCTAAAATAAATAAAGAAAAAAAAATATTTCCTTTAACTTAATAATAACTATATTTTTAAAAGTAAATTTTTGTGTGGGATAGCTTTTCCATCTCCTATAAATATATTTTTTTAATCCTCACTCGATATTTTTCCATTGATTTTCACATAGAGTGGGAGAGAGAAAAACAACGATGTGAGAGGGACATCAACTGGCTGCCTCCCGTACAACCCCAACCAGGGCTGGGGATGAACCGCAACTGAGGTATATGCCCTTGGCCGGAATCGAACCCATAAATCGTGGGCCGGTGCTCTAACCACTGAGCAAAACCAGCCAAGGCTGTTGTTGTTCTTTTTATTGATTTTAGAGAGGAAGGGAGAGAGACAAATATTGATGTGAGAGAAATAATGATCAGTTGCCTCCCATAAGCACCCTGACCAGGAATCGAACCCACAAACTTTTGGTGTGCAGGATGGTACTAGAGACAACTGAGACACCCAGCCAGGGCCACATGTATCTTTTGATCCCCTGGAAACTTAACTACAATTGTCCCTTGGATTGCACAGGGGAATTGGTTCCAGGACCTCCTATAGATACCAAAATATGTTGTTGCTCAAGTTCTTTATATAAAATGGTGTAGAACAACACATACAGTTAGTCCTCTCCATTTGTTGATTCAGCCAACCAGGGCTATGAGGGCTGATTATATTTATTGAAAAAATTTGCATATAAGCAGACCCTCACAGTTTAAACCTATGTTATTCAAGGGTCAACTATATATACAACTAGTGAAATCAGAATGTTATTCAACTATTCTAATTTTAAATGCGTGTTGTAAGTTGTTAAAATTGCTTTTGTGTCTAGTAGTTATAATTTAATAGTTTTCTTAAAAATGTAAATATCCAAATTTCTTTCCATTATTTGCATGTTGTTTAGAGCCTGAAAAAATAACCCATGCTTTTTCTTCAGTCTTCACTAGGCTCATCTACTTCTTCGTTCCAGTCAGTGGGTTCCTATGGACCTTTTGGCAGGATGTCGACGTACAGCCAGTTCAGTCCAAATTCATTAGTCGGGCAGCAGTTTGGTGCTGTTGGTGTTGGTACGTTTTCTTTTTTTTTTTACCACAAATTTTTAAACATCTTGTTTGGTATTCCTTTTGTAACCTATTATTTTAAATGTTTTATTTAATGTCCTTATTGACTAGTGGTTCTAAAATGGTCATCTTTTGGGCCCTGGCCAAGTAGCTCAGTTGGTTAGAGTATCATATTCATATGCCAAGGTTTCGAGTACCATCAGGGCACATACAAGAATCAACCAATGAATGCATAAATAAGTGGAACAACAAAATCAGTGTTTCACTGTCTACCTCTGTCTCTCTCTTGTCCCTCTCAAATTAATAAATAAAATGGTCATCTTTCAGAATAGTCACTTTTTAAAAATAAAAACCTACTTTATCCAATTATCAAATGTCATTGTTATTTTAAGTTTACATAAGATACATTTATAATAAGTATTTTTCCTATAGAATGGGTTTTTAAAAATTGCAGACCAACTGGATCAATTTTTAGGCCTCCAAATTTTCACATTGGCTGAACTTATGTCTGGTTTTTTTGTTTGTTTGTTTTAGAAATATGACACTAAGGTGAATGTGTAGGAGAGCTGGGCTAATAGCCCTACTTATGATTTGAGGACAACGGCCATTCATTGTGTGCAAAAGCTAGATGTAATCAGATCAATTCAGTGTTCTGTTTTGTTATTTTTATAGCTCTCCATTTTAGCTCTTAAGTACACTTGCATTGTAATTCCCACAGTAGGCTTTTTTTTTTTTTTACTTTATTGATTTTTTAGAGAGAGAGAAAGGGAGAGGGAGAGAGAGATAGAAACATCAATGAGAGAGAACATGGATTGCTGCCTCCTGCATGCCCCCCACTGGGGATATGGCCCACAACTTGGGCATGTGCCCTGACCGGGAATTGAACTGATGACCTCTTAGTGCATGGGTTGACACTCAACCACTGAGCCATACCAGCTGGGCCCCATAGTAGACTTTTAAAATCTCAAACTCTACCCCTTAATCTTTTTTAGTTCCATTGAAATAATCGTTTATCAGTTTACTTTGCTTCACTGAATCTCAAATCCAGTTTCAAGTGTATCTTAGTATGCTAACCAGTTTTGTTAAAATTATTTTTTTTATTTTTATTTTTTTTAATGAAGTTTTAGTTTTTGTTTGTTTGTTTTTTATCCTCACCCAAGGACATTTTTCCATTTTTTATTCAGATAGAGCAGGAGGGAGAGAGAGGAAGAGAGAGAAACATTGATGTGAAAGGGACACATCAAATGGCCACCACCCACACGACCCAACCAGGGACGGGGACAAACTGCAGCCAACGTACATGCCCTTAGTGGGAACCAAACCTGGGTCTCTGTGGACCGCAGGCTGACGCTCTAACCGCTGAGCCAAACTGGCCAGGGCTAAAATTATTTTTTATATTCGTGACTTTTCAGGTATGTAAATGTTTGGCTTATTCACAAAATAAAAGGATAGGGGAAAATGTGAATCCCAAAATTGAATGAATATAAGCTGAAACAACTGGTACTAAGTATATATCAAATTGATAACAACCATACAGGAAAGAAAAAGAATTCAAATAACTTTTATACTCTTGGTAGGATATATTATAAAAATAAATAGAACTATTAAAAAATCTTGGCCCCGACTGGTTTGGATCAATGGTTAGAGCATTGGCCTGTGGACCTAAGAGTCTCGGGTTCAATTCCGGTCAAAGGCACATACCTCAGTTGCGGTTCAGTCCCTGGCCCTGGTCAGAGTCATGTGGGAGGCAACCAGTCCATGTGTGTTTGTCTCTGTCTCCCTCTCTCTCTCCCTCTCTCTTTTCCTCCCCCCTCTTCCCTCCCACTGTATCTGAAGATAAATGGAAAAATATCCTCAGGTGAGGATTAAAAAAAAAAACTCTTGACTTAGGGTTTGTAATTGGTAGTGGTCTTGGTGTTAATTTTGAAACTGTTTTTTATGTATAATGGGATGGGGCTAATTAGTAGTATATTGATGTTGGGAAGTGGTGTGAAGAGGAGAGAGACAAATATGGAATGGGGAAAGTTAAAAAAGAACCCTGTGATGAATGTGAATTGGAGGTATGAGTATGAACTCATTTTTTTAAAACTTTCTTTTTTTTTTTTTCTTTATTGATTTTAGAGAGATAGGAAGGGAGAGAGAGAAAGAGGTAGAAACATCTTACTGAAAACACAGATTCTAATTGTGAAGAAATGTACCACATATATCCAGAAGTCCCCCTACAATGTTCTTTATATCAACTTTTTACAAAAACTCAGATCCAATTACATATTTGGATGCTATATTTCTTTAGTCTCCCCAAGTCTCTGTATTTCACAACATTGAATTCTTTGAAGAGTTTGGACTTCTGGATATATGTGGTACATTTCTTCACAATTAGAATCTGCGTTTTCAATAAGAACACCACAGAAGTCAAGTTGTGTAACCCCTCCCTCTCTCCCTATATCATCACATCAGGAGACATACAATTATTTAACTATGACAATGCCACTCCACAAATTATCCTACTAATATGAAAATCAAACAAAAAGAATCTGCCACTGCAAAAATTACCCTACCAACATGGGAAACACTCTGCCTTTTGTGATACCCAAAGAACACCAAACCAGTAAACCCCAATAATATTAAAAATTAGATAAAAGCATTCATAAGGCCCTGGCCACTTTGGCTCAGTGGTTAGAGCATCGCCTGCGCACCAGAGAGTCCCAGGTTTGGTTCCCGCTAAGGGCACGTACCTCGGTTGCAGTTCTCTCCCGCCCGGTTGGGGTCGTGTGAGTGGCAGCCAGTCGATGTGTCTCTCTCACATCAATGTTTCTTTCTCTCTCACTCTTCCTCCCTCTTTCCCCCCTGTTCTATCTGAAGATAAATGCAAAAATGTCCTCTGGTGAGGATTTTTTTTTAAAAAGGCATTTATAAGGAACATGTATTTCACCACCACAAAAAACTTTGATTAGAGGGGCAAGCTCTAAAGAATGGCAGAGCAGTATTTACTACGTAGACACTACGTGCTAGACCTTGTTCAAATGCTTTATACATAATAAGTCATGCAAACTTCACCATGATATAGGCATTGAGTACAATAACCCCAAAGTTAGCCAACTATTTGATTTAGTGAAAGGAGTTTAAAATAATAATATAATCTGCAATTGTCTCTTATTGAGTAGGGTTCTAACAGTTACAGCTAACACAGAGTATACCCAGATTTAACATTGCTCTTACTATTTGAATAGGTTTGGGCAGTACATTAACCAAAGTTACGTTATTTCACCCATCCAAGAACTGGTCTAAAAGGAATTAAATATTTCCAGTTTTTAATTTTGAAAAAATGTGAAACCTATGTCAAAATTGAAAGTGTACTTGAATATTGATATATTCCTTACCTAGATTTACCAAGTGCTACCATCTTGCCAGGCCTGTTTTATTTCTTCATTTCTTTATATCATGATATACACACTTCTCTTTTGCCAAGATAGGGTACAATCCCCCTTAAATACTTTAAAACTATTGCTAAAAAAGACATTCTCCTATATGGTTAACCACAAAACCATGACCACATGTTAAAAAAACAATAACACCACCCATGTTGGTAGGGTGATTTTTGCAGTGGCAGGTTCTTTTTAGATTGTTTGATTTTCATATTAGTAGGATAATTTGTGGAGTGGCTAATTAGAGAATATATAGTCAAAAGTTGTTAATGAGGAGAAAAACTAGCATTAAAGTGACAGATGTTTTATAGAAAAGGAATTAACTCAACTATAGTCAGTGTTGGCACAAATTAAGCCATATTTTAAACTATGTCTCTTCTCGATTTTTTTTTTTTTTTTTTTAATAATCCTCACCCAGAGGATACTTTTACATTATCTTCAGAGTGGGAGGGAGGAGGGGAGAGAGAGAGAGAAACATTGATGTAAGAGAGACACATTGATTGGTTGCCACCCGCATGACCCCGACCGAGGCCAGGGACGAACCACAACCAAAGCACGTGCCCTTGGCCAGAATCGAACCTGCGACTCTGTGGTCTGCAGGCTGATGCACTAACTGCTGAGCTAAACCGACCAGGGCTTGTTTTCAATTTTTTAAAAAAAATCTTTACCCGATAACAAGAGACAAAGATGGACATTATATGATAAAAGGGACACTATATCAAGAAAACATAACAATTCTTAATATATATGCACCCTATCAAGGAGCACCAAAATATATAAAGCCAAGTACTCACAGAACTAAAGGGAGAAACAGCTCAAAATACAGTCATAACTGGAGACCTTAATACTCGATTGACAGCTCTAGATAGATCTTCCAAACACAAAATAAAGAAATAATCAGCCTTAGTCCAGCCAGTGTGGCTCAGTGGACTGAGCATCGTCCCATGGACTGAGAGGTCCCAGTTTGATTCCTGGTCAGAGCACATGCCTGGGTGGCAGGCTCAATCCCCAGTAGGGGGCGTGCAGGAGGCAGCCAATCGATGTTTCTCTTTCACATCAATGTTTTTCTCTCTCTCGGTTTGGCTCAGCGGTTAGAGTGTCCGCCTGTGGTCCAGAGAGACCCAGGTCCGGTTCCCGCTAAGGGTGCATACCTCAGTTGCAGTTTGTCCCCGGCCCTGGTTGGTCGTGCGGGTGGCAGCCACTCGATGTGTCCCTTTCACATCAATGTTTCTTTCTCTCCCACTTTATCTGAACAAAAAATGGAAAAATGTCCTCGGGAGAGGATTAAAAAAAAATTAAAGATCAGTGAAAACATTTTTTAAACAAAGAAAAATAAATATCAGCCTTAAATGACACTGGACCAAATGGATATGATTGACATTTACAGAGCCTTTCATCCCAGAACATCAGATTATACATTCTTCTCCAGTGCACAAGGAACATTCTCAAAGATAGACCATATGTTTGTTTAGTAACAAAACTAGCCTTAACAAATTAAAGAAGATTGAAATTATACCAAGCATATTCTCTGACTACAGTGCCTTGAAATTAGCAATCAACTGTAAAAAGGAAGTAAATACA